GAGGGTCCACTCGAAAATTCTTCAGCTTCTCCACTGGGGCTTTCTGGGGCTCAGATTCAACAATGTGAGGATCGATCTCATCGAGCATGGGCACTTTCTCAGGGACGTCCACCATAGCCATATCAGCTATCACCATGCTAACGTTCTTGGGCTTTGGCTTGCTGATGGAGTTTTAGTAGCATTCTCGAGCTCCCCTTTGGTCGTCCTTTACTGTTGCCACTCCATGATCGGTATGGAATTTCATGCACACTTGGTGGATGGAAGTGACAGCTCCCAAATCTTTCAATGCAGGTCTTCTTAATACTCATGGTAAGCTGACATACTATCAACTATCAAAAACTCCATAAAGTTCAAAGTTGATTGGGGTGGCACTCCCATCTCCACACAAGTGTGATTTTACACCTCGGAATTATGCTATCCCCTGTAAAGCCATACATGGGGTGGTGATGGGGGTTAACTCATGATCCAAAATCATTTTGTCAAAAGTAGCTCTGAAAAGGATGTTGACGGAGCTGCCATTGTCCACTAGCATCCGCTTTAGCCCGTTTCGGGCTACTACGACTCTTACTACAAGGGCCTCACAATGGGAGAAGTGGATTCCTTCTATATCTTCCTGAGTGAACTCAATGGATGGTGTCTGATTCCTTTGGGAACTATCGTCCACTATATAACTTGTTAGTGTGGGGCCTTTAGCTTCTCTGCATAGTTCCTTTGGGAGTTCCTCGTCTCTCCACTGAGATATGGTCCTACCAAAGATTGTGTTGATCTCATGGATGTGGGCATTATCCTTGTGGGCCAAATGGCCTCTTAGCTGTCGTTGTCCATCTCTTGCTCGTTCCTTATCATGGTCCCTTCTCCATAGGGAAGATACATCCCAACGGCAGGGGGTGGCCTCGCCTAGGTAGGGGCTTATTTCTCTTTCATGAATCGTTCCGTTGGTTATTTCTAGGACTTGCCTGCTTAGGATGCTGGGTAATGTCTCTAGAGTTTGCCGTGTCATGGCTGTATGAATGATGATATGTGTAGTATTTGAGGGGGTTCAGCCTACCTCTAGGTCCCGAACCTCGGCCTTGTCCTCTACGGAGGGCCTGTTGTGTTGATCCAGTTTGTTAACTGTTAGTTTCAGGTTTGACATTTTCATATGCCAACGTGGGCACCGCATTTAAGGTGGCCGTGGCAAATGCCTGCCATGAGCTGGGGACAATCTCATTGCCAGTCTAGTTTCATCGATAATCCATCAGATGGGAGGCGGGTCATCTCCCTTGTTGCCTTTGCTGAAGCAGGAGGCCTTTACTTGGCCTATTTCTGTGTTCAATCAACTCTTCGTTGGTAATCTCCCACCTCATCATTTTTAGCAACGCATTATAAGTAGTCGGGTCCCGATTTTGAACATCTCTCCAAAACATGGTATTCATGTTTAGGCTCCCTCACAATGCTGATAGGGCATCGTGGTTAGTAACTTGAACACAATATGTCATCTTATTGGTAAAGGGAGACAAAAAGCTTTTCAAAGATTCTTCAGGCTGTTGTCTTATGTCCTGGAAGCACTGAATGATGGCCTCTCCTTCTTTACTTACCGCAAATCTCTTCAGGAAGGTGTTCTTGAATTCTTACTAGCTCCTAATGCTCCTACATGGTAGCCTCCTATACCAAATTTCATCCGCTCCACTAAAAGTTAAGTGGAAAGCTCTACATTTTACAGTAGGGGTGGCGCCTCTCAGGCTCAAGTGTGTCTTATAGATATTCAAATGTTTAGTCGGGTCGTGTCTACCATCATATTTCAGTATTTTGGGAATCACATTGTGGTTAGGTACCTGCACATTTCTCAATTCCTGCGAGAAGGGCAGATTGTTGTCATCATCATCCAAATCACAAGATCGATGGGGTCCATTTGAATCATAGTTTTCATCTGCCTCATATCTAGGTAATTGAGCAGAGGGGCTTACTTGATTCCTCGCATCATCTTTCCTCATTTGAGGCCTATTTCTTAGCTGGGCAACCCGGGGTGCATATTCTTGCCTTTCTTTCGGTTGCCAAGTCTCAGAATGTGGGGGGGAGGAGGGGAGGGGCTGAGGCTTGTTCATAGACGCTGGGGGCTGCTGAGGCTGTTTGGGCCTCGGTTCCACTGGGCTGATTCGGTCGAATACACTGTTAGACCTCTAAGGCCTAGTTTCGGGTTCATATTCTGAGGGGAAGTTATATTTCATGTTGAACGAGGCTTTAGTAGGTCGGCTAGATGCATAATTGGAAGAAATGTCAACTTCTATTTCTCTTTCGAAGGGGCTACCTCTCCTCACGTACCTAGAAGAATGGGCTCTCTAACTTTATACATCTTCTCCCTGATACTATCCATGGGTGCGTAGGGAGGGATTGGATGACCCCCTTGGCTTTGCATTTGTCTCAATAGCTCTTACATTGCCAAATTTTGGTTGGTAATGTTTCTCATGTTGGCTGCCATCATGGCTATTTCCCTGGTGAGTTGGGCTGCATCCTCATCCCACCTCGTCTGTGATGGTGGTGAGGTCGGCGCCGACCCACTGAGACGGCTACTGGGGGGACTTCGTCATTGCCCTCCCTCATCTGCCTGGGAGGAACATCACCATCCAAACTCATCTTTTTCCAAATCAAAATATCAAACTGATAACTTTTGGGGCTTCCTCTTGTTCTTTTTTCAAGAACAAATCATTTTTTCAAGGGGGACACCCAAATTATTTTCTCAGAAAGCTTTGTCCACGGGGTTGCTCCCGGTTATAGTATGGAATTCCCACAAACGGAGCCAATTTGTTGACCTCAAAATATACTGCCAACAGAGTCGAACCCACTCGTGCATGCGCAAGCTAATTCCAACATGTAACGACAGATCAACGGTCGAGATCACTCCTAAATAGGACATGGGAGAAGCTCAACAACATAAGACGTTTTTGTTCGGGTTCCGTCGAAATATACATATACGATTATACAATAATAACCAATCATGATAAAATCAAAGTAAAAGATTGTAAATCAATGCGTGTAAGAAGAAGAAGAAGAAGATAAGTTGATTTTTTGTATTTAAATTTTTCATCCCCCTCAATAGTCACATATAGGAGGTATTTATAGTATTACAAATGTGATGGTGATCCTTGGATGAAATTATACATGGCCTCATCTTCTCGATCAAAGCATCTAATCCTAGCCATTATTTTGACATTCCTAACTTACAACACATTTAATGTTCTTGCACCCTATTGACAGGCAAGACACATACTTTTACAACAGTCACATCAATCATTCCACAATAAATTCAAGACTTTTGCACATTGGACGTCACTACCAAGGTAGAGCCTCGGACTTGATCCGCTTCGGCATGTCCACCTCGGATTGAGTAACGGGACTCAGAATTTACCCCAGGGCCTCGTATTCCATAGCTGATACTTCGACAGGAGTGGGCCCACGACTACAGTGGGGTCGGCCACGTGACAGTGCCAATGGCGGGTCATAACATTATCAATTAATAATTATGCATCATGATCATTATTTATTGAATGTCGCATCATCGATTTTGGTTAATAAAGTTGGGCAAATTTGTCATAATTGAAATTAAGCCATTGTTTGACAGCTTTTTTAAAATTTTTTAATATATTTTTAAGAGCTTCAATTTTTTGCTCAGTAAATTTTGTAATGAAGATAAGATTGTACAACTGACAGACCTAACAACAAAATTTAAAATTCCATCCGTTGAATACTTTCGTTATCGGGTTTGCTTTCACTTTGTGCGAACAATTACTCTTTTAGGGGTAAACGTGGAAACATACATATCATGAGAGTGCTAAAAGAAATCTTTCATGGTGACATAACTACATCATATGGCGATGGCGGGCCTAGAAACACTAATGCCGAAAGAAAAAAAATTTAGAATTAAAGGTCGTCAAATATGGGCTAAATTAAAATGTAATTATCCTTTGAAATCAAATAAAAATGGATTGGTTGTGAATTTGGAATAAAGTTTAAATTGAAATAAGATTCTTGTCCAAAGTATTAGCATCTGTTTATGGAGTCAACTGTTTTCGGCTTGTTGCTGGTTCAGTGAGCTTTCTTCACAAATTTGACATTGTTTGATGTGTAGGAGATTGTCTCATTAATTTGAATATCCAAGATTGTCAAACAATATCAAAGCAGATGTTCACAATGTACTTGCAGCAAAATTGCTTCATAAAAGCCCAACAATGTTGAAGGATAAAGCTACTTTTGCCAAAGAATTTGACAGAAAGTTTGACATAATTGCATGTGGCAGTAAATGATATGATACAAAATTGACTGTATTATAAATTGTCCAATTATAAAATGATACGTGACATTATGTCAATCTTTATGTCAACGTTGATGTGAGAAATAAGACCAATTATCGAGAAGATACACATTTTGTCTCCTCTTAAATAGACAACTCTGAAGCAAATTCGGCGAAATAGAGTATCAACGAAAATTTTAAAAATAAAATCATCAATTCCATATCTAACTGTGGAACAAAATTGAAACCAAACCAATTCAGTTCCAATTCGATCCAATTCCATTATTTCAATTGAAAAATTTAATATTCCTGATGCTTTTTTATAACTATACTAAAATATATTTTTTCTACTAGAAATTCTAATTCTTACAAAAAAATTAAACTCAAACTTACAAAGAACAAAATTTTAACCTCTTTGAACCGTTTTAACGTCATATCATGCCACCTGTTGGTGTACAAGATTATACTATAATTAAGCCCCCTTCTTGGTAAAGATTTTAATTTTAATTTTATAATTTAAGCCAAAGTCCATAATTAATTTTAAACACATATCTCATAAATTTTTATCAAAATGTATTAAAAATATTATTTTAATCCCTGCCAAACAAAAAATACGAACAAGATGATGAATGTTACAGACTCTGGCTCCATGCATGGTTCAACCCAGTTATTACTGATATTATTCACACATCAAAAATTAAACTACAGACTGCTTGACCCCAATGAAGAACTACTAAGTGCCTCTCTCTAGCATTTCTTGATACCTCTTGAAAGACTCCAGCTTCTGCAATCGCATCTTTTTACGAAACTTCAATATGAACAAATCTGCTACTTGATCAATCTCATCTTCAAGGTTGAAGTTCTCTGAATCCTCCTTGGAATTCTTCACCAAATCAATGGCAGACGCATTTGGATCGCCTAAATCCAGATCATCCTCATCGAAAAGTGAGTGCCTTAAGTCGGGATACTTGTCATCATCATCTTTTTCTTCATGATCATACTCATATTCAGTAAGGTAAATTTGACCTGAAGTAGAAGGTACCTCACTGGTTTTGGCATTGTATAGTACAATTGCCTTATTGTTTTCGTCTTCTTCACCGTGGCTGTCGTTCCCAAGTAATGCATGAATCTTGTGGCGGATTGCAGCCAAAGAAAGCTTTCTGTTCTTCATCAATGAGTATACGGCGAATCGATCTTTCATAGCATTAGTTTTGTTTCTTAGAGACATTGATTTGGATTTTGCTACAGAACCTAACACAGAAATGATATGCTTCAGAAAAAGAGCAGCACTATTATTCTTCATTTTGATTACTCAACAAAGGATAAATATGATCAGAGGAGATTTCTGAATAGTGGAGCCTCTGCCCAAGGTTTATATATAGACAAGCAAAGTAGGATCTGAAAAGAACATTTGCCGTCGGTGCATGGCAATGTCTAAAAAGCAAACCTAAACTTAGCCAACGACCATTATTTTCAAACTATTTTTTCTAAGTATTCATTTTCAACCACACATTCATGCAATAAAATATTCTACACGTAAACTCCAAATTTTTTCCCACTTTTTAATCATACGTTCTCCTAAAAATCACTGTTCAAAACATTGTTTTTCGAAAACAATGGTTGTTTAGCCTCCATTTGGTGGGAATTAAAATCGGTTTTTTAGTAAATTTTGATAAAAGTTGATGAATTGTGTGATTGAAAAGTTGTGGGTTCCCATGAAATGTGTAGTTAAAGTTTATTGTTGATTTTGACTTATCGTACCAAACATGGGCTTATTTTTTTTTACTTCGAGTGAGTTTTCTTCGCTCGTTTTTTGGTTAGTATCACTGGCCATAACTTAGCAGTAAAGAATAGTTTATGAAACTTTGATAGAAATTGGAAGGTGCCATCCAGAGATTACTTACATAGCTTTAACTTTTTAACAAAAAGAAAGTGAAAGGGAAAGGAGAATGAAATAGCGTGGAAGAACACTTTCACGTGTAACATGGCCGAAAGCTGCTTTAAAAGGTAGGCATCAATTATTGGGCGTTTATGAAATATCAATTAAAAGTTACATTGTTCACTTTTATTGGTCAGAAAAGCAAGTGTATGAACAAATAAATATGAGTTTTGTCTTGTAATTCCTTCCCAAGTGCTCACCATCCGTGGATTCTATTGTCACGTAGACTGATGCTAAACTATCAAAACTTTATTATTTCTATTTTCATAGTCGTTATATAACCTTATAAATGCCGTCTTTTGTAATTCCTAGTTTGAAAATTATAAGTGCCTTTAATTTCTTTATAATTTCGAACAATTCCATAAAATATGTTCGTACTCTCATCTAAGCCTATGAATGTGTTGGAGTTTCAATATGATTTTCTTATGATGAAAAGAGTAGCATTAGTACGTTCTGCGAAACATGTGGATATAAGTGAGTATTGATTGTAATAGTATGGTTAAAATTAAGTATAACTTCGACTAAAAGTTATAAGAAACTTATACTGTTTCCGATTTATGTATGTCATAAGTTAACAAAAGTCTTGTACCGGCAACAAGATTGATTTTATCAACTTTTTAATTAATCAAACTTCAATTTTAACTTATATTTCATAGAACTCACATTTTTTTTTTCAGATTTTTCAATCATTCATTTCATAACTTTTATCAAGTTTTGTCACAACCCGTATATGTCGTTGTGTATTTTTTTCATCTTCCCTTAACATTTTCCCTCAGGGCCTGTTTGAAAAGCTAAATTTTTCATGGAAAATGGAAAAAGAATTCCACTTTCTTGGTTTTTGTTTGTTTGATGGTCAAAATTTTCTAGGCTAATTATTTTCTTGCCTCCTGCTCCA